GCTCCTCCAGCCCAGAAACATTTCTGAAGATTAGCGTCTGAATCTGTGCAGCAGAGGGCGTCTCCACCTCGACTGCAGACCTGACCGTCATCTGGGAACTTCAAACCACTTCTCGATACTCGTTTTTATGCTTTGGCATTTACATGAGGCCTGATATTGTGATCTACCTGGCCTGTTCAATTTGATTTATGGATGCTGTACAGCATTTTGGCAAAGTTAATAACAGCTTTCTAGAGAAAGTTGACATTTTGAATCACTTCCTTGCAATAGGATTCAAACTCCTTGAACTTTTTCCACTTTGTTAGAATCACAAATGTCAGTGTTTTGTGTCAGAATTTCTTGCACAACAAGTATGTAATGCATTACTGTGAAGTCGACGGAAAACTAGAAGTTTTTCTTCTTTTTATACAGATAAAAATTTGAAAACTGTGGTACGGATGCTTCTCCCGTCCCTCTGACTCAATGTTTTTTGTTAGAGTTTAGAGAAATGCTGGGTTTGTCTCACTTGTCAAGTTAAAAATGCAGTGAGAACAATTTCTCTGAGTAAAAGAATGTAAAAAAGTAAGCAGGTACTCAACATTTTTTCATTAAGTCCACATTTCTGTTGTGAGAAATAGATTGAGGCAATATTTGAATTTCAAATGCCACATTGTCATTAACTGTAGGTGGGTTATTATCGTGATTAACAGAAACATGGGCAATAAAACATCCATCTGTGTGTCGTAAATCCATTTCATGTGTTTCCCTCGGTGATAAAGTTCCTAAAATAACTGCTTTTCAATAACATTCTCCTTTAATGAATGCCTCCGAATGCACGACTTTGTGTTGTTCTCTCGCGTAAAATCCTAACACAAACCAGTAAAGTTTGTGGTTCTAATGCGACCAGAAGAGTGGAAAAGTTCAAAGGGGTTGCGGTGCATTTGACAAGGCACTGCTTCTCCTGCAGTTTGACAGGGAAAATTAGCAGGCGGTACAGAAGCTCATCCCCAGACGGCACCGTTACAGATGTGGAACCGAGACCGTGGTGGTTATTTATACCTCAAACTGGACCTCCTTCTGCGATACGGCGCCGCTCAGGGTTAGACAGGAGGAGGGAAGGATGTCAGACTGGTAGAAACTAAACGAGAAGAGAGAAGGACGGAGAAGAGGAGAAAACACTCTGTATTATAGGCAAGAGTTGCTGGGCTCTTCACTGTGAGGACACGACCTCTGCCCGAAAAGGAAGCCCCTGGAGCCCCTTGCATAATGAGACGGAGTCAGACAGATGCACTCTGCTGAAGGCCTCCGTCAGGAACAAACAAGACTTTATGTCTCTTAATTATAGGAGTTATTGTGGGATAAATCTCGATCACGCAGCACTCTAAAAGTTAAGAAATAACACACAATATACACATTTTGCGCGGGGTATATTTTTGTGCTTCCAGGCTCTGAAATGTCTTCAGATCCATCCGTATGAGATGGGTGAAGCTGAGAGGTGGAGAGTGTTGGTGTACACCCAACCCCACACGTGTGTGTTTAGATTGGGAAAAGTGGGGGCGGCTGAATCCCTAAAGCCAAAGTTTGACAGTCGTTTTAAGCAAGAGGGGCTGCAGAGGAACGTGGAAGGGGTGTCACTTGACAATAGAGAGAGAGAAAGAGAGAGAGAGGCAAAGGGAACCATGAGAGAGGGAAGGGGCGGAGGGTATCAGACCCAGAGGATAAGGCAGCTGGGACGGGCAGCTTTGGCTGGGAGCTGATCTCATTGTGCACTTGTCTCTCTCAAGACACTCTGCACGAGTCGCTACGGTAAACAGGAGCCAAGCTGCAGTCGGCATTCCTGTCTCATTCTCGTCATTTTCCAGAATCTGAAGGGGGCCAGAGCGTCTCCGCCTTGGAACCGAATCTGAATTTAAAAAAAAAAAAAAACTTCCTACCCTCACTAGATTTACCGCCAAATTTGGATTTTGCGCGTGCCATGGCGCTGGCGTAGGCAGGCATGGTGGTCTACTTGAGGAAGAGCATCCGCTCTCTGCTGTCGGTCTTCAAGAAGAAGGGTGAGTGCCGGGCCGGACGGGAGGCGTTTCCAGGCTCGGGTCGGATGACTTGTGGAGTTGGGAGAGTTGGCCGACGACCCGCCTTAACCCAGAGGCTGTGGGGGTCTTCTTTAATGAGATAAAGGAGCTTTACTGACTTTTTCATTGACCATCTTAATCAACCAACAAAAAAAAAGAAATCCCTCAAGTCAGGTGTTGAGTGTGACCTTATGGGCAGAAGGTTGATTTTATTCAGCCTAAAGTGACCGCAGTTGTTTTGTTTTCTACTAATCTATACGACCGAGATTTCCCAGACGGTTCGGATGGTTCTGGTGAATGCGAGAGTGGGCACACACACACCCGCATGCAGAGCGAATGCACGCATCCACGGTGTTACAGAATCAGCTACGACTGAGAGGCAGTGTCGAAAGTGACAAAGGAGGGAAAGAGGACACCTCACGTCGGGCCTTGTTCAGCTCAGCTTTTAACCACTCCGCTTCACTTAGCTTCCTCTCAATCTCGCAACTTGAGACGCAATTAAAAGCTCTTCGCTGCTGCATTTCTGTATGGAAACGGAACCCCCAAACAGAGGACAACAATCGAACACGCACACATGCTGACTTTGTGAAAAAGTCAATTGAAGGGCCAGGGGGCAAAGTCTCAACATAATTTATTTATGATCAAATTACCAGTAGAGCACTGTGGCATCGCTAACAATGCAACCTATGCTGTTTAAGTTTGTCTTTTACTTAGAAGCGTCTACAAACATCTGATTAGTGATCCACAACATCTTGAGTCACTCGAGTTTCGGTTCTCAGGATGGGAAAAACAAGAGAACATGGGATTCGAGTAACGCAGAGGAGCCGTCACTGGCTTCTCCCCTAAACTTGACCATATTTGCAGGGAGCATAAACCAAAATGTGGGACGGTGGAGGAGGAGTCGCATTTATCTTCTCAAAACAGAGGAGGATGTAAGAGAGAGAAAACAAATACTTGAATCGCAGCAAAAAAAATAAAAATTATCATCTATTTTTCTAGGTGTTTCCACAAAAAGCTCTGAACTTTTCCATATTTAAAAAAAAAATTTCATAGGATTTTTCAACCCAGTACGACATTTCTACACTTGTAATAAAATGGTTTTTTGGGGAGGTTTTTCTTGCTTTTTTCACATGTAAAAATTCTTGCCTGGTTAATTCATCTCTTTCGTTTCGTGGCGGTTCTGTTCCCGACTCTCATGCGCGAAACAGAACCATCCTGTACTGATCCGTTTCGCTAGAGCAGATGATTTAAAATGATTCTCCACACTTTTCTTGGTCTACCAATGGAGAAATATTTTATTTTGATTATGGATTGTAATTTATTAATGTTGCACAGTAATCTAAATGAACTTCCTTGGGAGATTTTTATTTTTTATTTTTAGGACTGTGTTCTCACTAATTCTGCTTACAGATTGCCAACAACCAAATGTCAATATCTTTTTTCTCTCTCTCTTCGGTGTGTTTGGCATGATTAGAAAACTTAAAATCCAAACCCTCAGAATCTGGAAACAAACTCAACACACCTCTTGTTCCTGGTTTTGTCATGATCGGTCTCATATTTAATAAAAATGCAGTGGCGCATGCTGAGTTTATGCGGTTCAGTAATGGACTAAATGGTAGCGTGTGGCTACAAAATGGCAAGAATATGTTCAACTATGTTCTATGTAGTCACTTTGCTGCCATTCTGGGCTAATTCTGTAAATACTTGTGTGCACACCTACATGGGTTCTTCAAATATATGTTGACTAATTTATGCGTTTTGTTTCAACCAACCTGCTGAGGGACAAGTTTATAAAGATTATTCTTAGGTTAGAGTTTTTTATTTTTGTGCAATGTCCCTCTTCTAAGTACATAAATCTGATCATTTGGAAACAGATATAAAGTCAGACTAATTCCTACATAATGTCTTGCACTTTTTGGTACAAAATGTCAAATGAAGCCAGAGCAATCCCAAAGCAGCCTCCTGCAAACCCAACAACCCAAAACGACGTTTGGATCCTCCTGCAAACCCAAACGCTGTTGGTCAAGTTGAGACGATCTGGGTTGATACAGAAACTGCCCACATTCTCCATCGGGTCGACGAAGCCAAGCGAGTTCGGCTTTGGTTTCGTCCGCGTCGTGTTTGCCGGTGCCGCAGGAAGAACTCGATCCTGTTCCCTCACGCAGGAGGTCCCGCCGCGGTGGGTCCCGGAGCATCTTAACAGGCGGACGGGCCAGATTATCTCATCCCGCGGGGACTAGCGGCGGAGCATTAAAACGCAGCAGATTAGGCAGCTCCTGTCTGTTCGGCTAAAAGCCTCGGCCACGTTGGGACATCTGTCCTCGCAGGATTCAGTGCGAGGAAGATAAAACGTGCGAGTCCACAGACACCTGCTGGCCGCGAGGTCACGTCTGTAGACTTGAAAGCAGCACTAAAACAGTTGAAATGATTATGTGTGATTTTGGCTGAAAGGCGACACAGAAGGGGTGGTGTATGCTAGAGGCGGCCGTGAAGAGGTGACGTGAAGTTTTATCGCGATAGTTTATGGCGCTATCGTGATAAAGATGACCATAAGAGCTATTCGCTTTTGTTCTTTTAAGGTAACTGTGCGGCGGTGACTGCATGGCCAAGCGGCAATCAGAGCCCCACAAACACAAACACCACTTTTAAAATCTTTGCCCATTTGAAACGGTCACCGAAAGGGAGAGATGCGAATCTTTCAGCGTCTTGTGATCCGATTCAATTCCGATTTTTAGGTTCGCTTCAGAAGCTATTTTTAAATCAGCTGCAACTTTTTCTATTCAGTCTAGAGAGTCTGTTTCAATGATGCGACTCACAGTGTAAACAAATAAAACATGTATTTAAGACAGTTCCATACTGCATCAATTTTCAACGGCACAGTTGATATGTGACTCTTTTTTTGCAACACCCTTTTTAGAATCTAACATTCCCTCTTTTTCCCCCCTCAAGCAGCCGGCCCGAAGGGGAATGAAGACCAGAAGCGGCTGACGGTTCACTACACGGCCTCCCAGCACTACCAGGAGAATGTGTTCATTGAGGGCAGCAGGCCTCAGTACCTGGAAGACTTGCACACTGAAGCTCAGGAGGGCCTCAAGATACTACAGCAGGAGGGTAAGGCACTCGAAGGCATCATTTATCAAACTGCAGATGTGAAAGATGTCATAGAATCGGCAGGTTTGAGACTCGCTTCTGTTGTTGATTTGTTTCCGCACAGAGGACAAGAACGGAGTGAACTTTGCGGACGATGAAAGCATCGTAAGTCGCCGAACAGCTTTGTAGATAATAGAGCATCCACTTCCTGGAGATTATTAAAATTCCTTCTAACTTAAATGTGCGTTTTTCCGTGTTTTTACCCCTCCAGTCTACAGATACCCTCTGCCCGGAGCTGGACGTCAGCTTCAAGGACAGAGGCGGCTCTCTGGGGTCGAGACCCAACGCTAACAGTGATGCCACAGCAACTTCTGCTGTGTTGAATCGGCCTGGGATTACTCACCAAGGTAAACATTGTGTGTGTGTGTGTGTGTGTGTGTGTGTGTGTGTGTGTGTGTGTGTGTGTGTGTGTGTGTGTGTGTGTGTGTGTGTGTGTGTGTGTGTGTGTGTGTGTGTTTATTGGTGCTTCGAGAAGGAAGCATCAATATTTTCTGCATCTTAAAGTTACAGGAGCTAATTATGTCAGCAGAAGAGCGAGTCTTGAGTTTATTCCTGAGGTCACTGCTTTAACAAGAGTCACAGCCGGGTGCTCACTAAAAATGCATGACTCATTCCTCCCTGTTCGGTGCCTCTGCAGATATGGTTTGAAGAACTTGTCACACTCATATGCAGAGATAAGGAGGGTTTTTTTTTTTTGAGGTTTCTCTTAGAAGTTGTAAGCATGTGAGACAGCTCTGTGGCGTTCTCTACATATCACAGCTGGAAGGCTGAGTCTGCCTGTCAGAACCACTGAGAGGCAGAGAGACAGAGGCTGGATGTGCCCACGCAGTGAGAGCCATTGGTATTCTGATCATATGTGATACTGATTGTTCAGATCAATTTGCTCAATGTGCCTTGTTGAGTTTTTAGTGAAAAAACAACACTAAAAGCTTGTCTGTGTAAAATATGAAATTATCAGAGAGAGTGCCTCATAACTATTTAAGTATTTATATTGTGAAACTTTTTATCATTTTGATACCAGCTTTATTATCTATGTAGGAAAAACAGCAAACACCGAGTGGTTTATTAGACAAACACTTCACGCCACTGACATACAGCATTTCGTTCTGCAGCTTTCACAATTTGATCAGTTTTTTTTTCAGCGTATTTCACCCAGACATCTGTGTGGCAGTTCAGACGGTTTTTATGAGTATTTTGAAAACCTAAATGCTTGTATGATTTTCCAAGTTTGGGATCGTTTTTTTTTATTCGGTTTTAGTACCGCTATGTTTATGATTGTATTATTTTCAGTGTCATCTGGTTAGGAATGTTATTTAGTGAGAATTGTGTCCTGAAGAATAAAATCCTTTAACAATTATCAGTTATTTAGCACTAATGAAAAAGCGCTGTGTTAGCATTCTAAACCAAACATGGTAAACTTGTACGTGTGCAAACACAGATTGGCTCACATGATTTTCTTTTGGAAGGTTAAGCTGAAGTCTAACCGGATTTGTGGTCCATCTTGGTGAGTGAAATGCTTTCGTCTTTCCACCAGGCTCCACATTCAAGCCTTTGAATCCTGTGAAAAGACTCGATCAAAGCAGAAAGAAGAACAGGAGGACCACCATCATGGGCATTCCCAACCAGGTTCAGAAAGAACTCGGTGCGTTCCCATCCGCGTCCCTTACGAAACAGAGCGGTGTTGAGAGTGACCTTATGGGCAACGTGGCATTAACAGTGGCTCACGTTGTTTGCAGCTCTGAACAGAAGTTCCACCTTCCAGCCGCTCGTTTCGACTCAGCTCCCTAATCACAAAAATCACAATGGCGACGGCCAGTCAGATGTTGTCATCATTCCTACAGTGGATGGAGAGACTCCGTTGGCAAAAAACGAGGGAGCGAGGGTACACCTTTCAGAACTGGAGGTTAGAGGATCCAAAGATTGAGTTCTCAATTAAAGCATCTGTTTCTGTTTTCTCCACCTTAACATGGTTTTCTGTCAATGCTGGAGCAGGTCTTTAGGGATGAGCAGGTGGCGAGGAAGCATCTTCAGGGAGGGTACCAAGACGAGCAGACCCATCTCTGTCCGGCAGTCAGACCAAAGTCCCTTGCATTTCCTGGCATGACAACTTCCTTCTCACTCTCTCCATCAATGTTGCACTTCCTCCAAGAGCCTCAGGTAAGAATACCGTCAGGATTTGAGTTGAGGATTTACACACATTTCATTTTCTAACATCAGACACTGTAGTTCCTCAATGTAATTTGAGCAATCATTTCATCAGGATATAAAGCGCTTGCTTCTGCTTCCTTGTAGGGTCCGGTGATGTCCATCTCTCCTCAGGCCACTTACTTGTCTACGATCATCCCTAATGCTGTTTTACCGGCTTCAGTTGAAGTAATTGAGATTGACCGCAGCAGCAGTCGAACTCGAGGCAGCAGCGTCAATCACGGCAACGGTGCCTGCGCTGCCAGCAAAAGCAGCCTGACATCTGAGGAATCAGCAGTTAGTCCTTTATTGTCAAGAAGATCAGACGGTGACGGTTCCCAAACAAATAGCTCTAACTATGACTCTGCACTAATGCCCCGGTCAGCCTCAGGTTCAAACTGGAGTGAGTCTCAATCTTCTAAGACTATTATTTCAGACTCCTCGGTTTCATCTTCTAATAGAGGGGGGTTCAATGTACAAGAAAGTCAGACACAGGAGTCTAGTAACGGCCAAGACCTCACAAGTTTTTGTAGCTCAGTTAATGCAGTTAGCAGCCTGAACAAGACAGAAGTAAACACAGCAGAAGCAGAGTCTGGGCTTGAAGCGACGCAGTCATTGACTGTTGGCGATCAAGCAAAGAACAAACGGAACTGCATACATAGTCTGTCGGTCACCAAGACCAAACAGCCTCCAGCACCTCCACGAAGAACAAACTCTCTGCATGGCAAAAAGGTCAAAAGTGAGACCATGATTGTGGTGGAGCTGGAAGATCCTAGAAACTCAGGAGAAGTAAAAAGTTCATCTGAAAATACAGTGGCAGAGGAGGAAGTTAAATTGGTTGCTACAAATGCCAATTTGAGCCCAGAACCTTTGTCAAACTCTACTGGGCCAAGCTCAACAAACTCTTCCTCCACATTTCTAACCCCTGTGCAGGGCTCCCCTAACCAGGCTGAAGAAGCAACAGCATCACAGCAAGAACCCGACCCTTCCTCTCCACAGAAAACAGCACCAGATGGAGGGAAATTTGAACGGACAATGTCTCCTTCCAGTGGCTATTCCAGCCAGAGTGGAACTCCAACACTTTCCCCGAAAGAAATCTCCCCAAATTCTCCAGACAAACTGAAAAAGAAGCCCATCAAACCAGAGAGATCCGCGTCCCGTGCCTCATCCTCAGCCGCTTCTCCCTCTTCCTCACTCACCTCCCTGTCATCAGGTACATCTGAGGCTGCAAATGCCGACGTTACCACATGCAGCGCAACTCTGCCGCCGCAGGATTCCTCGCCAACAGATGAAGTCACTCCGAGTAACAAGCTCTCATCTTTAAGGGCAGACGTACAAGAACTGTTTAACATCCCTTCTCCTCCTAACGTCAAAGCCCCTCGCCCACCGCCTCCGGAGACATGGGCCCACAGCAGACGGACTGTTGAGCTCCTCTGTGGAGCTCCTAATGTCATCAAAACTCCACTGAAAGGAAAACGAATGGAAACTCAAAGGGAGCCCAGAGAAGACTGTGAAGTTACAGTCGAAAACCAGACAACTCAGGAGAATCCTGTTTTGGAAATGCCTGTGCATACAGAAAGCCCTGTGATAAAAGATCCTGAAGACGGCAAAAGCGAAGTAAAGACTAGAGAACCTTCAGATAAAGAACAAATGCATAAAAATGAGGAGGACACAGATTTTAACAGCAGAGTAGAGAGTAAGGGCCACGTTGCAAAGAAGCCAGAAAGTCAAGAGACGACTCCAAAGAAACAGCCACCTCCTGTCATGAAGAAACCAACAAAAATACTGATCAGAGATGAAGCCGGGCATCCATCAGAGACACAAGAAAGGAAACTGAACTTCACTGCTGCAAAAGAAGTTTACTTGTCTGTTGAGGACCATACAACGCCCTCCCAAAATGCTGCAACAGTTGATAAGAGCAACATGGAAAAGAGTGAAGTTCAGCCTATGCAGACGCTTACAGTAGAGCTCCCCAGAATGAGTAAACTCTCCCCACCACCTACGCCTCCTCCAGCTTACCAGCCGACGCCTCCTCCGACAAGGAAACCTGCTGCTTCATTACCGTCTCCAACGCCAAATGAGTCTGAGAAGGAACATGACACGTCGCATGTTGTAGATTCCTGTTGGCCCCCTCCGCCTCCTCCATTAGAGGGGGAACCTGCCTTTGATGGAGGAGACGAGGTAGATTTCCCTCCACCTCCTCCGCCGTCCGTAAGAGACGACGTAACAGAGGTGATGGAGCTAACCCCATTCGCTTCAGTTTCACCTTCAGCTGACAACAAGTCCTCTGACGCTGAACAGATTTCGAAAGCCGACACCGCTCTTGAGACTTCTTCCCAAGACGCTTCATGCGCTACCGACATAGTTCCACCCTCGCCTCCTTCACCACCTACTGCCAGAGTAGAAAGCCCAATGCCGGTCCGAGAAGCGTCTCCTTCCAGCAGGTATCTTAAGCGAAACTCTCTAAAACTTGAAGATGAGTCTCCCTCTACTCTTCCAGTAAGTCCTGAGCTTTCAGCTCCAACTTCAGTGCCAAAAGCACCTCCTCCACCAATGGACAATGTAACCCCTGGAGTTAATTTCAGAAGGCAACCCAGTGGCACATACAGAGACGCCAGGAACAAGGAGCTGCTTTCTCGCCACAAAAGTGCACCGATTCCTAAAGAGGACGCAAACATACCACTCGTAACCCCCTCGCTGCTGCAGATGGTTCGTCTCAGAACGGTCAGCATGACTGAAGATCAGGCGCAACCTCCGTCTGAAGAGTCAGCACATGAGGCAACTCCAGCTCGGGAGAATTGTTCCGTCTCAAGCCAAGGAGCTCAAGACATTCCTCCAAAGCCCATTCGGAAGTCTTTGGCAGTAAAATCTCCTCCGCAAACAGTAAAATCATCCACTGTGACAATGGGTTCTCCTTCCCTGCGTCTGCAGGAGGCCATCCGGATTAAAACTGCAGCCATGTCTTCCAGAGACTGTCTTCCCCACAGACTGGGTGTGAAGTCCCCTACTTACAGCTCCATTGGTGAACAGGGGGGGCGCTCTCTAAAACCACTTGAAGGATGCGATATTCTTAAATCCCCAGCATCTACAGCGAGCTTTATCTTCTCTAGAAGCACAAAAAAGGTGGTCATCGAGCCTGCAGCCGCCTCCTCCTCAGACGCTCAGGCGAGTCTGAAGCAAAGCTTAGCAACAGAGCTCAGGCAGGTCTCTGACCAATCAAAGGCTGGTGTTCTGTCAAACGGCAGAGTCAAGACTGACAGAATTCCTCCGCCGATAGCCAAGAAGCCAACATCTGGAAGTACAAGTCCCTTGCTGAGCTCCCATAGCTGTTCAGCAAAGATGGAGCTCAGGGTTGAGGGAAGCAAAGATCCTGGAACTGCGCAAACTGTGGCGCCGCCTACAACAAGTAAGTCATTGTCTTTGGCACCTTTCAGATCATTCTTTGAATTGACAATCCACACCTGCTCTTTATGCTCTTTATCAGTGGAGTGTTTCCAACATGAAAAGTGGAGGGCTGAAGTGAATTTTAGAAGCTTACTCCTCTGATTCATCTCAGGAGTTTGTCAAAGAGCCATAACCGCCATGAGCTGTCTGGTGTACATCACAACTGAGGCAAGAGAAGATAAAATGCAAACACAGCAGCCAAGTTTTGGGATACAGACAGAGATGAGTAATCAACGGACCCTTCAGGAATAATCCTAAACTAAACAGCATGAACCGACAAACTTGTTATACACCTCACATTACGCATATCATTTACATTACAATCTCACGGAGTTGGACCTCTCCCCTTTGGTTCTGTAATCCCAGAACCGCGTTTGCTCCAAACGCAAACAAAGCCCGCCGTGTGGCGGGACTGACCAGTTGAACTACAAAAGGGCGGCCTGTGGTCTATTTCAGGGTGAAAAACTCAAAGCGACTGCAGCAAAAGTCACAAGCATCTGCATGTTGCTGCTGAGTCTGTAACCTGGTGGACACCTGAGTCAGTGCTTGCATTAATCCTCGAATTACCAAAGCGTTCTTATCATGAGAAAGAACAATGCTAATCCCTGCAACATCCTGATTTTGAGCAACGAAGCAGTTTTAAGCTCGCTTTAAAGAGGAGCGCTGCTGTGTGCTCGACGCACCCCCAGGTCAGAAACCTCACTAACAAGCTCCACTGTGGTCTGTGCGCATGCAGTGCAGATGCTTGCTGACTCGCCTGCAGCTTTCTCCCAGTCAGGCACACGCTTTAATCAGCCATAACCCGAAGCTCATGATCATGTTGCAATAATTCAATAAGATTGGGACGGAATCTTCATTAGGTGTGTTCCGGTAACCGTATTATACTAATGCCGCATATCCTCCTCTCATCTCCTGCCCGCAGCTACGAGAGTGACGGCGGACACGATCGAAACGTTGTTCTGAAGGAGTGATCTGTGACCAGACTCGCAGGAGGAACGGAACGAGACGGCGAGCAAGTGAAAGGATGACTCGCAACATTTATTGACAATAAACTCAGTCTTGTTGTGTTTTGTGCTAAAGCCTTAGCCTGTAATGGCCTTCCTACATATTTATGCAAAAACAAAAGAAAAGATCGTGTTAAAACCCTCGACTTCTAAAGAAAGCTTTATTCTAAAGTATTTTTCTACATAATCTAATCTAGGGAGCCCTCAGGGTGGAGCGATGCACATAACATGAAGTGTCTCAGTTTGGTTTGAGTAAGATCGCCTCCCAGAGGTTGAACGGGGTAGTGCATCCTCAGAAGAAAAGTTGGAGAAAGGGGTTCATTGTATATTTTAACCCCATGCTGCAGTATCAAGCAATGCGTGGTAACGATTCTCACTGGGACTGACAAGAGTCTCCAGCCAAGGACAGGACCAAACATGGTCTCCTTGGTTACGCTTGTACAGAAATGACTCTACTTAGTTCTAGTCCTGCTTTTCACTGTGTGTAAAAGTATTAAAGAAAAAAAAGGGAAGATGATTCGTCCCGCGGGACGTTTTTGTTGGTCGGACATAAATGACTTTTGAAAAGCTGCAGAGGATGATGTGTCAACACGCAACAAAAATAGCTAAACACAGTATCTGTCGCTGGAGTGTTTCCTCTGCAGCGCACAGTGCAGGTCATTGAAGAAACGCCGACATCAAAGACGACCCGGCTAAATACGAAATGGAGTTTTCAGAAAGGGAATCTTGGAATAAAGGAGAAGCGATCCTCGCCAACTTGGCCCTGTGTGAAAAAGTAATTGGGCCCTTGAACCAAATCAGTAGTTTTGAGGCCCTCAGCAGCAACAAATGCGAGCCAGTGTTTGTGATGACTCAGAGTGGAGAAGTTTTGGCCTACTTTTTAAAAAATGGCTCTAATCCACCCGTATTAGATGCTTTCTTATGATTCGCCTGTTTAAGGTTAAAGGTCACGCCTCAGCTTCTCAATTGGAGTCAAATCTTGGTCTTGCCACACCAGAGACTTTCCTTTGGTTCCACAGATTCAGTAGAGGACAATCCTGTTTGTGTTGGATCCTTGTCCTCTATATATTCTCCATCAGAATTTTCTAGAGCAAATTTGCAGTTCCATCAATTACGGAACTACAATTCTGTAATTGGAGGTAAGGGAGGCTGTAGTCTGTAGGTTTTTCCAGTCAGCATTGGGTTTTGGTCTTCAACTGTCCCATCAATGCATTTTTATGCCCGGTCAATCATTTCTGACTCTTGGAACAGTGGGCGTCACTGAAGCAAGTGAGGCCTGCAGGGATTCAGATGTTCTGAGTTTCATTTTGACTTGTCAAAATAATGGACAAGTCTCTGGTTCACTGAAATACCCAAATTCTTAAGAGATCTCTGTCGCCCTCTTTCTGATTGATGCCAGTAAATGTATTTCCACTGAGGCATAATTTCTTGCTTTTTAAGATCTTTTAGCATTTAATTTTTTTTTCTTCGATGTATTCCTGATTAGCTTAAACATGTTAGCATGACAAACAAAAATCTAAAACAAAAGAATTTGGTAAAGATGAAAATTTTCTTTTCTTTTTTTTTAGTTCTGCGCAAAGCAGCAAAACTAATCTTTTTTTTCCGCTAGTAGCACTGGAAGTTGCCTTTTGCTACCAAATATTAAATGAAAACCACTTCTGAAGTAACAACTCTGGTGACGTGATACACTGGAGCTGGATCAGTATTTTTTATGAAAAGATTTTGTTCCTAAAACTTTGACTTAAGCTTTTAGAATGGAGAATTAAGCTCATCACTGTTTGCACAAAAACCCCTTCCCCAGTGGAATCACATGAAGTCAATTCTTGACTCTTTGTAAAGGGTGTTTAAAAAGAAAAAAATCTCCTTTTTGGCGATTATAAAGAATCATGTACAGTTATTACTTCTATCAATAAATTCTACTTGTGTCAAATGTCTCTTTCGTTCACTGTTTCAAAAACGAGCGTGTGGGAGTGAAACGAATCGGATGCTTTTCCGTCCAGTCAACTGGTGAGAAATTTTCACATGGCAAAGATAGACGCAAAAAAAGAAAAAAAAAAAAGCTAGCGGAGCCACACCCGGTTCTTGAGGCCTGGATTTAACCATCTCTAGTTTATGGCTTCACATCAACAAACTGAGACCTTTAATCAGTCACATTAAGACAGTCATGGCCAGCAGCTCTCTTGATTCTGCCGGTGTTTTATTTCATTTCACGGATGATGCATTAATCAGGCAATCAGATGATCAGACATGGATTTCTGCGCATGACCTAAAAGTACAACCGTCTTCCATCTAGAGGCATATGGATTTTACATACATGAGGTGTATAGAAAGTTTGAAAGCATCTCTTTTAATCAGACTGATCTGTCTTGACACCAAAACGTTGAGTTCCCCTTCAGAAACCTGAGATACGATTACTTAGACCCAGAAAGGAGCAAACTGGTCAGTGTCCTGTAACCTCCACTCAAACGTTTGTGATTCGAGTACATTAAGTGCATAAGTGACAAACTTTGATTAGTTACAGTTAGTCATAGCAAATGACTTCATACTTTTTCCTCAGTCAAGATAAAACAGTTGGTCTATGTGGACAGAAATATCCCTTCACTCTTCCAAAACCATCCAGATGAAGCGTCATGGTGCCGTCGTGGAAATTTGTGGAGCAGCTTTGGCGATCGACGGGAGTCCGTTTGAGTATTTAGCTGATGTTGCCTCCTTTTAGCGTCTTACATGTGATCTGTCCCAGTTTGGTCAGCAGCTTTCTGTCTTTCCACTGAGCCACACACTCGTCTGAGATCTTCAGATCCGCCTGTAGGACGACACGCCGCGTTAGTCGGCGTGTTCTGGGACGGTGGGTCCGAACATTGAACCGGCAACGGGGCTCCAACGTACCTGCAGTTTCTCCCACACCTTCTTCTTTGGGTTCAGTTTTTCGTCCGCTTTCCCCGACTCGTAGCCCTCCACGAAGACCCGTTCCCCTGGCGAAGAACCCTCTGGGGGGTCGAGAGGCTCCACCCTCCTGGGCTCACCTTCTCTGGAAACAGAAACCGGAGCAGGGTAAACAAAAACATGCTGAAATTACAGACGTAAGACCCTTCGTTCTTCCTGGTGGCACTTGGTCCACAAAATGCTGAGAAAACTTGGTTTTCGCAACAATAACTGAATCCATTTATGAGAATGGCATCTTCTGTTGAGTATTAATCTCCAAATTTATGTGTGCATATGACACAGCAATACGATGCTTTGGTTCATTTTTGGGTGCAGAATTTAAAACGATCAAAATCTGAAAAAACTAAAACTCCTGTAACTAATAAAAACTAAACAATAACTAATAAAAACTCGCTCTAAAAACGAACTAAAACAACCTGAGTCATTAAAGAAAAAAGAACTACAACTACAACCCAGAACTCTTTTAACCGTGGACATGGCGGCGTTTTCATGCTGCCCTGTGGGTTTTAGTCGACTTGCTTACATGGAGGCGCACAGCAGCATGGCTTGGGACTCGATCCCTCGCATCTTCTGCGGCTTCAGGTTGCACAGCACCAACACGGCTCTGTCCTGCAGGTCCTCCTGGGAAACGTAGGCCACCAGCCCGCTCACCACAGTCCTGGGCTCCGGCTCCCCCACGTCGATCTTCTCCAGGTACAGCGAGTCGGCGTCCGGATGCTGCGGGTTGCGCGCGATACAACGTCAGGGCTGCTCATTTCACGGCGTGCGGCGGCGAGCCGAGTCACCAACCTTCTCCACGCTGACGATTTTCCCCACCCTGATGTCCAGTCTGGAGGGCGCCAGCTCGTCGTCGTCCCCTCCGCCGCCTCCGGCTGTCTTGGCGCCTTTTCCTCCTGCTTCTGTTGATCAAGCGGATAAAACAAGTGTTCAGCGTGAGCGTGAAGCATCCGGGCTTCGCAGGGTTAAAACGCTGACTTGTCTTGGACGGATCGGGATAAGCAGAGTTGGTGAGCTTGCGGAGCTCTGGAGACTGAAACTTCTTCCTGATTGGATCCAGGAGCTGATTCAGGGCGACTTCCACCGAGGCCTTCAAGTCTCCGGGATGGATCATCTGAAAATGAGGAAAGTGTTAATCGGGGTTCGTTCAAGGACAGTACAAATTAAAAAATGAAAAAATGAACTACAGAAGGTTCAATTCTCTATTATATCACATCATTTACTACTGTTATTAATAATGTCTTGTGATAATGTTCTACATTTTACAGCAGGGTTGAGGACATTAGTGAAGTTGGCCCACCCATCTTTGTCAAATCAAACAAAACCTTTCCGCAGCAATGTGTTCATTTGTGCTGCTGTCATTTTAAAGATGTTAAAAAATGGCTCCAGGGGTCAACCAGACTCCCCGCCAGAGGTCGCGTTAACGGAACATTTCCCGTATTTGACCGGCTATCGTTTTAAACGACGGGGAAATTTAAAGCCCGTCTGTCATTTGCCAGGTTTTAATTCACACCCTTGACTGGTGCACAAGCGCAGACATTATAGACTTCACTTTCAACTGCAAACAACATTTCCAAATTTAGACTTTTAAAAAAATAAAAAAAGGATTTCCAGCACACAGCTTACTAGCAGATGGGATCAGATAAATGTAGCTTTACCTCTCCTTCAAAGTCCTTCTCCACCTGTTCAAAGTCCGTGTAAACTTTGTCTCCGCCCCATTTTGGATCCCGCTTGATGGAGAACTCTGAAATGCGAATCAAGTCAGGCTGTGACGAAGACGTTCACAACAATAAAAAAAAACAACAAAATTGAAATTAATCAGCTTTCTAACCTCCTTGCAGAGGAAAGAGGACGTATTTAACAAAAGAGAGAACGCCGTTGTTGTGGATGTTTCCTGGCTCGCAGAAAGCCTTCTTCAGCTTCTTCTTCACGTCTTCTTTGGAGTCCAGCAAGTCGATCTTTGACTCCTACGCGCATGCGTTGGATGTTAGCGTAAAGGCTGGCAGGGAATGTCTCAACAGAGTGTTTGAATAGAGCCTTACTTCCTCTGAGGAGCTCATTTTAGCCCCCGTCAGTCCTGGAACCATCGGGTTCATCAGATGTGATCGTTTTGCGTAACCAAGCGAGGGAAGGTACTGGGAACAAAGGAACAAAATTGGAGCTTATTGGGACACGTTCTAACGTCTTGTATGAATTTATTCCGTCCCAGTTGAGTTTTACCTTCTCAGCCAGAGTGAAGATCTTCCTCTGGTCAACTCCTCCAAACTGGGCGTCAACTTTCAGGTACTCCTCGTCTAAAGCCTTAGAAAATTGCCAACAGTTTAACTAAATACTCAAAGACACTAATCCTCAGATATTGGTACCGATACCAATATCTGAGGGTTGATATTGGCCGATACCGATCCAATACAGAAACTGACAGCGCCTGGTAGATGTATCCAGACCCTCGAAACTTTATCCAATTTTGTCTTTCGTCTTTATTTTCACAATTTTCTCTGCTGGGAAAGAAATTGTTAAAAATCACCCCCACAGCATGGTGCTGCCACCACCATGTTTGACTGTGGAGAAGGGGGCCTGAATACAAAGCATTCCACACTTCTTCCCATTTTCTTTGCAACCATTTTTTGAGGACCAGGCATTAATTATTTTAGGGATGCGCCGATCTATTTTATTCACTTCCGTTACCGATCTGAGGTTTGGTATCGGCCGACACCGAGCTGATGCAGAAAGACAGTGCTCAATTTACTTCTTGTTTTATTATTTTTTTAAACACCAACACAAATGTCCTGATATACAAATGTATCTGCACCACCACAACAAACTGAAATACACCAATAGCAATCAACTCTCACACCACTAATTATCTGGACTGTGATATGTGCGGTTTGTTATCACCTGTAGTCCAGGGTAGAGAAGCCCACTCAGCAGAGGATGCTCCACCTGCTTCACCACTTCAGCTCCAGCTTTCTTGGCGTCGTGCTCGGTCACCATGGAGGACAGGCGGTACACGTCCAGGGTGTACTCACTATCCGACGTCACAGGACAGAAACAAAGTTCAGCTACGAGGCAGAGCGCTAGTTTGGGCGGGGGCCTGTTACTGCTGGCTCAAACTGACCGGCTCAGCTGGAAATCGGTGCCTTTGATGAAGCGCAGCTTCTCCAGAGGGACGCCGATGCTCTCCAGCATGGCCTTGATCACCTGCTCGTAGTACTTCACCCGGAGCTCCAGCAGCTCCCAGGGAGCCTTCATGTTGTCAAGGTAAGCGTGCAAGTCTGCGAACAGGATCGTGACCTGAGGATCGGGAGAGACGGCAAACACGACAAAAAATATTAGTCGTCCGGAACGAAAATTATATTGAGGTCATGTGACTAATGGCTTTCTGAGTCTGGCTCAACTGGGATTACAATGGCAAAAACAGGCAGGTGTTACAACTGATGGACAAATTTGGTACTTTTGAAGATAATGTGAGATAGAGACTCAAGTCAATCCAGAAAATAAAAAAACAAAACGTATCTTTTGCCTCGCTTCATTTATCAGGAGATGTTGTGGGGGGGGGGGAGAACAGCCAGGTTGTTGATGGTGTAAATAAAACTCTTAATTTCGCTTTCAGTTAGTTTCACTGTTGAATAGGCCTGTGACAAATAAAGAAGAGCTCAATAATTTCAATTTGATTTTAGCGTTTTTCTCTTTTTCTACCCAAAACTGGATGATAAAAAGTCTTCAGTCCAGTGCTTTGGTTTCAACTAACCCTCTCCCCCATTTTTAAAAAAATTTTTTTGAAGGCCAATTTCTTCAAAATTTATTTGTTTATTTATTTGGGGTATTCCAAACCTCTTTCAGTTTCAGTGTTAAATGTCCTCTAGCTTTTAAGGTGATCGTTGAGAACGCGCTCTTGCGTCATCACGGCGATATTGCTTGAAAACGTGTGTGGCGATAAATTCTGGGACGATTCATCGCGAAGCATTCGTGGTTATCGCGACAGGCCCGAGGTAAACACAAATGAATGCTGAAGTTCATGTTAAAAGTAGTTTGTTTGAACCCCCACCTCGCAGCCGGCCCTCAGGAAATCTGCTATCTTCGACATGGGGACAAAGTATGCCACGTGCGGCTTGCCGGTGGTCGCCGTGCCCCAGTACACCTTCAGCTCCCTCTCCTGAAGAACCTGCCTCAGCTTCTCCTCGCCGAGCACCTCCTGCAGCGACAGCCAAGCACAGACGTCACCGACACCGGAGGAAGCGCTTCCCGTCCGGAGCGACCCGGGTTGCTGCTCACCTGCAGGTTCCTGGTGATGAGGTTGAACTTCTCCTCCGGACTGAGCTGACCTGCCATGACGCCGGGGCTTTGAGACGGGAGGCTGTCGGTTCACACGGCCAGAGTTAGCTTTGTTAGCTTAAATGAGCAAGCTCCGCTGACGCGTTCAATACAAGTCGGTCAAATGGGGAATGAGTGAATTGGGAGAGCTAAGGGCTTCATCTGGTTAGCAACAGAAACCATGTGCAGCTACCGGAAAATGCTATCTGTTCAGCTAACGTTAGCTTTACTTGCCATACATCCGTGTGAATTTGCTTTTGAGGTTAAAAAAAAAACGAAAGCCGGTCGCTCACCTGTGCTCTTAAAACGGGTCTCGGAGTGGCGAAACAGCCGCTGAGTGGACCTGTGAGCAGGTTGCGTCAGCGACAGCCTGGGCTCTGTGATCCACTCCAGGGGGAAGCAATCGAGCGCAGATAGCAGAGAATCCAAATCCGAATAACTTTATTGGCCAAGATTGAATGTTAAAAACAGACATTTCCAAGCGCTCACTGCGTACATACTGACAGTATAAATATATAAACTTTAGCTTACATAAAACAGGCATAAAGAAACGATATGTGGATTTTTTTAAACCAAATTGTCTTGTTTGTTTTATACATTAAAACAAGTGTTGATGTGACAGTGCAAAAACAATAAAAATGTTTACAAGAAACTGTTTCTGTGGCTCCCGATTTTTTTCCTTTTGCAAATATGATGGTGAAAATGTAAACTGTGATCAGAATGTGTGGGGTCTGCAATTTTTTTAGCTGGCCTGAACAAATATTTAACAGCAACAACAAAAAAACTACTGTCCTGTCTTGTAAAATTATCACTTATTATTGAGAACCCTCATCCTCTGATCACAAAACCTTGGCTCAATCTCAACCCAACTGCAACTTGAGACTTAAAAAGTGAGAAAAACATCTTAAAAATCACAATGAATCAATTACAGAAAAAATAAAATAAAATCATATTTTTGTTGGCTTAGAAAATTTTTTTATACACTTTAGAGGTGGCACCTTAAAGTCCAGAACATTCACTTCCAGATCTTGGAGCGTATGCTGCTTTCGAAACCAAGGGAAGAAAGTATTAATTTTAGGGAAATAAACATCTTTTAGCTGCACATTACATTTCTGCACATATTACAGAGGCAGAAATAAAGAAATGGATCATTAAACACACTTTTGAATGAAAATTACAACAATGAAAACCTATAATGTTTTCATCACTAACAAAACATGAACATGACATACAGAGTGTAGTACTGACTATGTTATAAAGTATAAAAGTATGTTATAAAGTACAAAACAGAACAACCAGCTCTGGTAGGGACAGATTGGTAGATAGATGTTTATTAAAAAAGAAAAAAAAATATTGCAGCCATTTTTTTTCTCCTTACAGTCCATACGCTGCATAACATAAGGCGGGTGGAGGCCATCTAATCTATGATAACTAGAATGGACAAAAAAAACAACAGTCCTCAGAGATGAATCTGTCGGACCACCTTTTCTCCTCCAAGTGATCTTACGCCCTCTGACTGAGGGGCGCCCTGGCAGAGAGCCATAAACTGTAAACACTGTTCTGACAGCAAGCTGTGGTCCAATAGCTCACTCAAAAAAAATGTACACCTGGTCTTCTGCTTGCAGTGAAAACAGAAAGTAAACACAGCGTAGACCTCAATCCTGCTCCTCCTGTCCTGCCCTGCATGCTTCAGTGGTTCCCTGCTGCCACACACCTGGATTGATCTATGGGGGATTAACAGGCTTCTGCAGTACTTGATGCCTGCAGAAGAGGTAATGCCATCATTTGGATCAGCTGTTGTGGAATAGAGGCACATCTGAAACATGCAGAGCAGGGTGAGGGCTGAGGATTGGAGTTGAGAAGCACTTCTTCCCCTGAAGGTTTCAACATTCTGACCCAGAAATAACTTCCTTACGTTTCTATCTCGAAATAAAAAAAAATTAAAAAGTGACCAAAGGCTCTTTGTGAGTTCGAGTCGGACCTCCCGCAGCGGCTGTGCTGCTGGGTCAGAGGTCGGGCTCCAGTCGGGGAAGCACCGGGAGGATGAGGTTCCCGAACGAGGAGTCCTGGGTGATGAAGAAGCCGGAGGAGTGGACGTGCGCGTGCTGCAGGGCGGCCTTCTGCTGGGCGGCGATGTGCTGCTGCTCCGCGCTGTCCCTCGCCTCCTTCAGGCTGCTCCGGCCTGACAGCGGGATGTTGGCGCCGGGACAGTTCAAGGACTGGCCCTGCAGCAGCCGCCGCTTCTCCTTGTCCAGCTCCGCCAGGATGGCCACTCGGGTTTTGTTCTGGAAGCCCTGTCCGGGAGGGTTGGCGGCCATTACGGCTCAACAGTAAACCGACGAATGGAGGGTAAAGTTCCCCTCAGGTCTCCTTCGGGGTTTATGTTTTTGGTGAGGTACCTTCCGCTCTGTGGGTTTAAATTTGTAAACGCATTTTATAGCTTTTTGTTGGTTAATTACCAGAACGGAAGCGCTTCCGGTTCGAGAGCTGGTTTTCACAATAAAATGAAACGCATCGTGAATATTGTTGAAAATCAGCATAAAACTGTCTATATTTATTATCAGTTTAATTTATGTATTTCAGTAAAAGCTTATTATGTATTTTGTGACATTACAAACAACATACCACAGTATAGTTTAAGGTCAGATCAACGCAAATTAGGACATAAGTAGATGGAAAGCGATACGGATTTTTCTATTTGCGATAAACCTGTAAAAAGTGTAGCACACATTTGTGTTTAGCTAATCTGTGCCAACCAAAATGGTACATTTTATTTTTATTTACGTTTTTTCCAACGTTCTGAATGTTTTACACCGCGCCAACACTAGGTGGCAGTATGCTCCAGCTTAAAACACACCAAGTTCGACCCTTTTATATAGAATTTCAAAGATTTCATTTTAACGTGAACAAGTTCTTTTAATCAGATTTACTGCTGATGTTTTATGATTAATCCCAGATAAGTTTGATCAAAAATGTAACTTATTACAGTAAACTTTCTGTAATTTACTGCAATACATTTACAGTAAATTACCCCAACAAGAAGTCTGTCATTATCTTAAGGTAATTAAGTAAATACGTATACATTAAGTATTTACAAATATAAAAAAATTGTGTTAGAAAATCATATCACATGTGCAATGTGAAAACATGTAATATGCAATGCTTGTGTTACATAGAGTGTATTTTGCATGAATTGGAAGAAACAAATAAAAGTAATTTTCATTCCACTTAATCATGTTTTATTGTTTCCTTTCATCACAGTATTCTTTTTTCTTAAATAACTACAGTACAGTGTACAGAAATCATTCACTTGCAAACAAATACCAGGTCTATTTACATGTTTACGTACAATATTTACATATGAACAGGAGGCGGAGTCTCCCATGAGGGGACTAAAGCCGACACATTTTGCCAACAGCCTCGGTCATGAGATGCTACGCACCGACAAGAACCAAACATTTACAGGATGTACAATAACTACAATTTCAGTGAGTGACAATGGCACCTACAATATTGTTCGGAAGAAGTTAATGCATTTAAAAGAAACAACAACAAAAAAGTCACTTCAGCAACTTGGTTGTCATGTTCAAGATGTAACAGTATGTATAACATATGACACTATATATACACATTTCCATATCAGTAGATATGAAGCATGTCAGTCCTCTTAGGTTTTTTTTTTCCCACTTTTGGAAAACCGAGGCGATCACAAAGTGTCCTGGTTGTTTCAATAAACAATATTTAAAGATTCAAGGAAAAACAAAAACCTAACTCTGCTCTGTCTTCACACTCATTTTTCCAATCAAAACTGGGTGCGTTCCCTTTTTTGTTATTAATACATACAGTGTTGTAAAAGAGGTACGAATAGTTTTAATAATAAAAAAAAGTCCACACACTCCTGTTGTAACGGCAGGAATTTATGATGTAAAGGTGAATTGTATCAAAATCTTATCCGGCATACTTTGTCTTTTTTTTTCTTTTTTACTGCCGTTTTAACAGGAGCGTACAAACTTTTTTTTTTTTTTTTTTTTAACTGTAAGATTGTAGTGTATGGCAACATCCACTGAAAGATGCAGGCGTCGCATCAAAACAAAACTGAACGAAAAGCTCTGCAGCTTCCGTTGGCGCGACTATACAGACCTTAAATAGGTTTTAAATACTGTAAAGAGGAGAACTGTGAAAATCACATTAATAAATATTTAAATTAATATTTAAACATATGTGCTAGTTGTCGTCAAGGTTTCGCTCCAGGTTTGAAGAAATTAAAGCGTTAAGAAATGACGCGGTCATCAGTAGCTGTCATAAATTTAAAAAAAAACACAACAACCAAAAACGGTTGACAGGAGAAACTGTGCAGTTTTTCTTTTTTGTGCAAACTCGCTGTGCTCACGCGACGCGATCACTTGAGCCATTTTTGTAAACTACGATGAGATATTCAGTGAGCGATTGGCACTCGTTGTGGGTTTGTGCTTTTTTTTAAAAAAATGTTTTCAAAATTTGCCTCGGAAATGTGTGTGAAATTCAGGCAAAAAAGACAAAAAACAAGTATACAAAATGGCGGTTTCTTCCGACGTTTGCGGGTCTACTGTGACGTCATTTCCAGCGTTGTGCTAAAGATCGTTACTGCTCAGTGTCGTATGTACAAAAGCACCATTAATGCAAGTTTATCCCTCCCAGCCACCCACTTCTTTTTATGTTTTCTTTGTGCAATTTCATTTAGAGACCAACCTTTAAAGGGAAGAGATTCTCACTTTGTACTCAATAGTAGCATGTCGTACAAAAAGGTAAGGCTCGGCGAGGCGTCGAAAGTCACACCAGGAAAATGTCGCAGATATAAAAAATAAAAATTAAAAAAAAGGAGCGTGATGTTTTGGGGAAGGCCTCCCTCAGCGCGACTCATACGGTTTTGCACTTGGATCCTCAGCAGCAGCGTTGGCCGGACGATGCGGTTTCTGTGCGATCCGTCGGGCCCCTGAGGGGGGGACTTGGATAGATCCGAAGATCCGGGTCCGTTGGTCCTGCGCAGTGCAAAATGCCAGCTGGCCAACAGATTGGTCCAGAAGTTGCTTCAAAAAGACGCGCTAGATCATTTCAGTCACCTCTGTGGAGTCCGACTCTGAATCCGCCTCGTCCCTGCAGCAGGAGGAAAGTTGGTTTTGTCCAAACGTGTTGAAATGATTACACATTGCAGAGACGCACCGACGTGAACATTTGGGCCAACATCGATATCTACCAATATTTTAATACCGTTTCACGACACTTTATGGGGAAAAAAAAAAAGACGGCAACATGATTAAAAAAAAAAAAAAATCGGTTGCTGGTAGTTATCGGACCGATATAGATAAATAAAAAAGGAAAAAAAAAACTAATTTTAGCAGACAACGATGTTAAGAGTCTGTGTTTCCATGGCAACTATCCAAGACATCTTACCTCAGCTCTTGTAGGATCTTGCGGTTGCCCTGCCTCCTCTCCTCGGTGATGGGGTACGTATAAAGGATTCCCAGGCCGATAAGGATGAGGGCGACGGGGGCGGCCGAAACCAACAGCTTCAAGGTCAGGTCCACTTCCTTAGGCTGGGAGCAACCTCTGGTGACGTATCCAGCAAAGCTAAAAACAGATAACAGAAATAAAACAAAACGGTTATGCAGCGGAAACAAACGTCCGCAGCGAGTCAACTGAATCAGAGAAGTGAAGAGCAGAAAGTTAGGAGTCAGTCATTGGAATTTGGGTGATTTAGACTGATTGGACTGATCTGGCAGAGTCGATATGCTTTCAACATGCCATCGCCTTCAATTTTCTGGATTTCTTTTTTAAGAAAGACCAATTACCTGATTTCATTCCATTTTTATTGCCACAAATCAAGAAAGGACAACGACTGAGGGAAGCAAAGGGATATTTTGCTCTTTTTGGCATCCAGACAAATTCAGATGCGTCAAAATTAGAGGTGCACAGACGAATCTGCCCAGATTTCCTTCACTAAAAAAAACTAATACATGAAAACAGAAATGTGATCTTATCCACCTCCTAAGTCTGAAAATAAATCATGTCTGGTTAACAATCACCACCTTCACTTTTGCAAACTGGTGATCGGCCAGAAAATGTCAATCGGTGCACAGCTACTTGTAGTGTATAATAATATTTATAAAATCTGAATGGGCTTCAATCTAAATCCTTTAAGTCACACATTCATTTCACACACAAAAAACATTTTTCAGTGCAGCAAACTAAAAAACAAACACCTGTATATCCTTAAGCAATTCAGACTAAGAGTTTAATTTTCAGACATTAGAATAAAAAATTCTGTGATTTTCAATTTTCCACATTTAGAAATAATCGAATCACGTTCCATCATTTTAGGACGGCGGAAGAACCGTGATGTTTAAAAAGTATTTATGTCAGGCTGTTTCTAATTGGACTGTTTGGTTCAAGTTGGGGAAAATACATGGGGGAAAAAATGTCCCTAAAGTGACTCCATATATTTTTGTTTGCATTTTGTAAATCCAAGCCTGTGCCTGGTCCAGAATAGTTTAGAATGTGCCATTGTTTGTGTGTGTGTGTGTGTGTGTGTGTGTGTGTGTGTGTGTGTGTGTGTGTGTGTGTGTGTGTGTGTGTGTGTGTGTGTGTGTGTGTGTGTGTGTGTGTGTGTGTGTGTGTGTGTGTGTGTGAGAGCTCTTACTCTAAACTCAGCGTGGAAATGCCGAGCGAGACGCCAGAGGCGAACTTGGTGAAGAAAACGTAGAAGGAATAAAAGATGGCTTCGTGTCCCGTGGAGTCCGGGTTCTGAACCTGGAAATCGTCGACGACGTCGGGCAGCATGGACCTGAGGAGGAGAACAAAAAACGGTTCATAAAAGCTGCCCTTGAAGTGCTTGAATAAAATAAAAAAATCCAGACGATTGATTGGCGTGGGAGGGTGGGGGGCTTACCAGGGCAGCAGGAAGGCTGCAGCCACCGCCACGCCAGAGGCAAAAGACACAATGTAGGTGACGATGAGGTTTTGAGATACGCACACCACCAGGATCATGAAGGGAACGGCAGACTGTGAGGAAGAAGAGGAAAAAAATAAAATAATCACAGAATTATTCATAATTCCCAAATTTTACTAGCAACACCAGATCAGGAGAGGAAGCGCGGCTTTACCAAGGATCCGACATAAGCTGCCGTTTTCTTCCCGAAGCGAGTCAGGAACCACTGCCAGAACGGGATGGCCAACGTAGCGGAGAGCTGCACATGGAGGGGGAAAAAAGAAAGAAAAAAACCCATAAATATATTTGCAAATAAGAGCTCAACATTCCAACTGAAGACAGTCAGTTGTGTCCCTGCAGCTCTTTTACCAGAAACGCCCAATATAATAAGACCCCAATGAAAGCAAAAATGAGAAGCTTTCTGACCCAGCTGGACACCTTCATGAGTGAGCAGGAAGAAGAAGAAAAAAAGGTCACTGTGCAGCAGTAGTTTTCCACCACGTTTGTGGGCTTTTATCTGCTTCTTCCAGAGGAATCAAACACATTTTTATCATGTAAACACGCCAACCCGCGTCAATTTAAGCAAATGAAAATGCTTTAATTTTTTTTTAAATGCTGAAAATCACAGTGGAATTTTCTGAAGAATCCAAAAAGCCCCCAATTAAAAATGCTAAATAATTTTATAATAAAGCCTTCATTTTGGGGGTATTTTAAACAAATATATCACCATAAATCAAAGTCCTCAAAGTGGACATTTGTCATCTCAAAAAATGCATATAAAAAAATAATTAAGAGGAAGTGTTCATTGGCATCGACTCCATTTGCCGGTGGGTCAAATTTGCAGACCGATAAACCGACTCCAAGGGCCACAACCGGCCCTCGGCCCTCAGTTTGGACACCTCTGCTATAGAAAATCCACTGTGAAACTTTGAATAGAAGATCTCTGTCAAAAATGAGTAACTTTGAATGTTGCATTGAAGAATTGGCAATAGGTTTGAGGGTTTTGGCCACGTCACAACCAGAATGATGTGAATATTTTTTCCAAGACATGAACGTCCTGACTCTGTAATCCAGTTGGATTAGCCAGACCTTTTCACTAAAATGACAGAAGGTAGGGATTAGGACGTCTTAGTGCTGATTATGGAAAATTTCATGTGGGGTCAGTTTTTCTTTTTTTGTTGTTTTCAGAAAAATCGCTTCACTAAATGTAATGTACTTACATTAAAGTGGCTTTGTAATCCTTTCCATAAAGTAAAAGCTTAAAGTAATCTGTTCACCCTCGCTGACCTGGACTCGTTTGGCTTGTGATGTCCAAGAAAAAGGTTGGGATCCGCCGACTCCATTCTCAGGTTTATATCAAACTGGGGGAACAAAGGCGAGAGAAGAATGTGGCTCCCTGACCGTCTGTGGGAACGGCGCGGCATTCAGAGGCGAAGGCGCTTTGAGTTACAGAAAGGTCCGGTCAGGAAAAACTGGTTTATGTCCGACCACAGAGCCGGCCTTGTACTGGACACGATTTATGTCCTCTCCTCGGACAGGGAGAGCCTTTTGTTCTACTTGTTTCGCGAAAAACGGACCCGCCACGGGTTCCGCCCCGTCTGAAAACCCCACCTGTACTTGTAAAGGCGTGCGAGCGCTCACCATGATGACCAGCAGGATGTTGTGGAAGTCCTTCCTGAATCCCAATGTGGCGCTGCAGAAGAGTGCGAAGTTTCCCTCCAGGAGCTGAGAAAAAAAAACAAACAAACGCTCGCTAAGTCACAATTTTCTAAAAACACATACATGTCTGTGAAAGCATGTAGCTTAATGAAGAAATCCAATAATATGAAAAGTTTAAACCCCTTGTATCAAAATGCCAAACGTCAATTCATTTGAGAACTTTTTCTTTCTTTAATTTGACTTTTAACCTGCAAAACAAAACAACTTTTTAACAAGCGAAAATGAACAAATATGTGTTATGCTGCTTCAGATCACCAATTCAGATTTTTGGCCAATTCTGATTTTTTTATTTTTTGTTTTTGTCTTAAAAGTCACTAAATATAGCAACATAGTTGCTAAATTGGCAACAGTGATTGGAATATTTTGCTAATATCACAAAATTAGGAAAATCAGAGTCGTATTTACCGTTTTATAACTCCAAAAAGTACAACTATAACCTCACATCATGAAGTATGGTGTTGGCAGCATTATGCTTTGGGCTATTGTGCACGTTCCTAACATTTCTAGGAACATCAACCTTGATTCTTCCTACACAAAGAAGAATCAAGGTGGAGCACGACAGCGACCTGATCCAAATCAATTCACACGTTCGGGTGTGGAGACGTTTTTACTCCCAAACATTCCTAAAACTTCTACAGCTGCGTTGGACAGAGTGTGTTCGATGTGGCAAGGTGGGAAATGTTCTGAAATTATTTGTTGTCCCCTGGGTTTTTCACATGGATCGGTACGCACCATGAAAGCCAGCGAGGTGAAGAGGAAGCCCATGACCAGCTTGGCGTACGGCCCGTATCCCATCACCATCTTAATGCCTTGAAGGAAGGGCATCGGCTTCGATCTGATCCCGATAGCCTCTGAAAAACGGCAATTATCAAAATATTACTAATTAAATCCGATTCCTGCGTCAGAAATCACCCTCTCTCCGATTCTTTACATATTTTTTTTTCCACAACAAGCCGTCTTCAAAGCTCATCATTTACTGGACAAACCCGCCTCGCGAGGCTCGCTACGCCTCACAAGGCTTTCAGTTTGAACCGCAGCTGGCTGTGCGCTTGTTCTCACACGCGAGTCAGCCCACAGAGTCAGGCCACATCCGAGGCTTCCTACTGGCCAATCAGCTGCGGTGACTGCGTGAGAGCTGACTGACGGAGTGGGCGCTCACCGTGTTCCCTCACGCCGCAGAACAGGATGACGGCGCACAGGATGTACATGGAGCAGATGACGGCAGACGAGATCATGTACGCGGTCCTCTGCAACAAGAGAAGAAGAAATAAGAGAAATATTTATGGATATTCATCATTTGCAATACAAATTTCACTTTGACTTCTGTTGAAGATTAAAAAAAAAAATGTAAAGAGTATTTGTCTACCGTGTGCTGCAGGGAATGGTCCGAGTTGTTGTGGCTCGAGAGAACGGAGGAGTTGGAGGACAGGCAGGGGGCGTGAGCGTTGCCCACGATCTGACCCTGGATGGCCGTGCCGAGGACGGTGCCCAGAACCTCCACCGTCATCCCTGATGGGACCAGCAGAACGCATCAAGTCAGGCCACCAAATCTGGGTTTTTTGTTGTTGTTCAAGAGGGAAATATAACTTTTCCCGGGTGCTGAGGTTGGACTTACTGTACGCCGTAGCGGAGTCCCTCTCCTTCTGCTCGGTGGTGATGAACATGGTGAGGGCAGAGTATGGCACATGGAAGCACTGGGAGAAAAAAAAAAAGATCAAATTGATGTTTATGACTTAAAAAAAGAAGAAGTATACTTCAGCTTTCATTGAAACAAAATTTTGGACAAAATTGGAGGAGGCGGCTACAATATGAGTGGAACAAAATATTTACTAGCTTGTCTAGTGTTGCCTTTTAACAACACAAATCACGTGTTGTTAGAACCTGTCAGGGTTTCTGCAGGTTTCATCAGTTCGAATACGAGGCTTTTTTAAAGACCATTAGGAGCAGCTCAGTTTCCATTACAAAAGTCTTAGTCGATGTTCCGCCAACATCGAAAACGCACAATGTCGCAATTGAGGCTTTTCCATCACATAAGAATTAAAGTCATACGTAAAAAAGTCTGTTGATGTGTTAAGTTGCTGAAATAAAAACATGCCTCTGCATCTTCCTCCCACCACTTCCTGTTGTCTTCTTTGTATTTTCCACCAGTAGTAACATCTGACTGTTGATCAAAGGTGTGAAAAAAGTGATGCGACCGAAAAACTACCTCGTCTTAGCACAAAATGTTTTTAATAAACAAAAACGGGGTTTTTTTTGTTTGTTTTTTTCAAAACTGCCATGTTTCCATTAAGGAAATGTATTTTCATACTTCCAATTTGGACTGTAATATAGTCATTTGAAATGCAGCCAGTGACAATTTCTGTATTATGACAGAAATTTGCAGAAGAAATTGCTTATTTTGCAATGTTCTCTAACCCCTATAGAGACAAGCCTTTTTTCACTTAACCATGAGAGACATACAAAAAGACAGTTAGCAAAGTTTTTGTTAGCAGCTAGTTAGCATTAGCCTCAACCGCCTCGAGTTGTTTGGGCACGACTCAAACTTTTGCCTGACAGAAAAAACAACAACAAAAAAAATCTTGCCTCATAGCATATACAAGAATGACAAATTTTAAGGCCAACTTACTTTTTAAAAATCAATTTTAGATATTTTAATGCCTTACCCATAGATACACTAAAAACTTTTTCAGGATGCGCTGACACACAATCCCTCAAATGACGAGGGAAACGTTTCAGAAATGTCTGGAATGTGCAGGTCATTGACGGAACATTTTCTGCTCCATTTGGAGAGAGAACAAGGTGAGTGTAGATTGCACAATTCCTTCCTCTTTCCTTCTGCAGCTCAGATGCTCTCCGTGTTGAGTCACACCTGTCTTCTACGTCTGCTTTCTGGAATAGGAAGCAGGCTGCTCATCCTGCTCGCTTAGAAATGCCTCAAGCCTCTCAAGCTTTGACGTGAAGTCAAACAAGCAGGGGGGGACAAAATATTTTTTTTAAAAACTCCAAAAAATCTACTATTACAGAAGCATAATATGTTCCAAAGTCATTGTACTGAAACAACAACATGCCCTCCTAATACAAGGGAGTGATGACAGATGCTGACAGATACTTTAGTGGGGGTTTGTGTGTATATCTATTCCAGTCAGTGTCTGTAATTATGTCCTTGTAAATAAAGAAAGAGATTCAAAACACAAGGTTTATGACTCTGATCTGGGTTTGATACTTACTGTCTGCAGGGTCTGGAAGATGCAGTAGAAGAAAATATACCAGATGACTTTGCCATGTTCAAAGGGAGGGACACACCATATGAGGAAATAAGATATCACGGCAAAAGGCATGGACAGTAAGATCCTGCAGAAAAAGAGAGAACATCAGAGACTGAAGACGAGACGAACAGTTTATTTCCAACAGATAATAAAAAATAAGAACAGGAAACTAAGATAAATAGTCTTGAATTTTACACACTAATTGAAAAGGAGCAGGCAGAAGAGCAAAGATCTTATTTCCTTTTAAGCTGGATGCTATTCATACTTTAATCACTTCCATAAATCTGCCACACACACCGATGCACAGAAACTCTTGTTGGGTATTCTGATACATCTTTTATTATTATTTTATTTTCTTCTCTTAAATTGTAACTCCACTCGCCGTCACTGAACATTTTTTGAATAGTGTGGGAGTTGACCGTTTCTTACTGTGAGCATAAATGGTAGCTTTTTGAGTTTTCCAAATCGCTGAATTTCAGTACATCTGATTTAAAAATAAAAAAATAAAATTTAAAAATGGATTTGTGCTAACAGCGCTGATAGTTATGCATGGTGATGTCAGAGGCACTAATCAAGGCCAATCATTGCTAAAACACTACACACTCTTATTATTATTTTAGATATGATTTTGCAATAAGTGCCGTCTCACACAGTCTGACGTCACCTCTGATATTATATAAACATTAACATTATATGGGGAGGCAAAAAATAAAAAAACTCAAAAAAAAAAAAATCTACTATTACAGAAGTTTCATGTGAAATCAGAACTGGAAGAACCACCAGAGATTGGACTGGTAAGCTCTGACTGGTCCGTCTGTAATGGCATGATCCTCAGGTTTGGCCTGATCTCAAGGTTGCATTTGATTAAAAGAATGCGGCATCACGACATGCTGTACGGAAGATTTCCTGCATATCTTTTCCAAACTCATTGAAAGGAAAAATGTGGGCTGACCAACACTCTCGACACTTACACTGCATGGAAAGTAACAGGGAAGGAAATGAACCCTTCATCCCGACTGTCTAAAACATCTACGGGAATGCCAAAGCCAGATATGAAGTCATGTGCATGTCCAGATAATCGGTCATTACTGTACATAAACAAAGCAACACGTCCCGATTCCTCCCACAGAGTCGCTGGCGAGGATCCAGACAAAACCCTGCCTCTCGTTATTTCTAATGTAGCTCTAAAGCACAGGGGTGGGAAGAGGTGGGGTATGTTTATTTTGCTCTACTGCGCATGTGACATCATTAACTGGAACCTGATGAGAAGAGACAGGCAAGTCACTGCGACTGCTTCATCAGAGATAGTCACAGGAATGTAAATACATCTCACACAGAATCAAACATGATGTCTAGTTTTATTTTTGTTTTGTTTTTTGTTGACCTCAGCAGAAAATACTACTGTAGCCTATTAATGGCACTGTGTTGTATCTTACCAACAACAATCTTATCATTTCAGCATTTGCACACTCAGTGACCCTGCAGTACGGAGCCGACACCTTAGCCTATATTAGCGCTAACCTGACGCCGCGGGTGGAAGCATATTATTAACTTTGCTGATTGAGGGGAAACGCCACTTTAACCGACAGATAACTCAACAAGTGACAGCTTTTGAAAAATAATCTGGGCACACAGAACTGCCTGGAGCTGTTTTAGTGCCTTTTAATTCTGGTCCATATTATTTGGTTAGGGTGTGTGACTGTAGCTTAAATTGTAGCAATAATTGGCCAAACATTCTGATTCTCAAGCAGCAGGTTGTCGGTTTAATGCTTTAATGACTTTTCAGACCTGAGAAATGTTAAAAATGCTCATAAATGCCTCAGTGGTGAGGCAAAAAAAAGGCCACATATTTACCTTCCACAACATTTTCTTTATTTTGAAACTTGCTCACTTGTAACTGCTGCAACAGAGACCCTCATTCTGAAATCTGAACTGGAGTAACCTTCTGGATTCCTCAACCAATCTTTAAAAAAAATAAAAATCCCACAGGCCTGTGTCTGCTACGCGATTGGCCCAGGCAGGTGGTGTGTTCTCAGATAGACCAATGAGAAGCCGTCTCCATCCCCCCTTCCCTCCTCCCTACAGCCTTCACAATGGAGCACTTCGCCCGCTTCCTCTCGTGTCTCGCGTGCTTCGCTCATCTGCACAACGGAGCAGAGCTGGGGGATAATGTGACCCAACATGCCGACCATTCCTCCTCCGCCCACCTCCTCCCCCTCTCCTTCCTCCCCATGACGAAATGAGAAGCGGAGGAAACGCGTCTCTCCTCCTCACGTCAGCATCCTGACTGACCTACCTTCAGAACGTGCTTGACCGTTTATGGTGTTTGTTTTACTCTATAAAAAGTGAAGCTCGGTTGGACGTTTAGTTGAGATTTGAGTGAACTGATTTTTGTAGCTCAAGTACGAAACCTGCACTTAATCTCTTTTTTTTTGTTGTCATTATTGAATTAAAGCACAAGCTCTTGTGTATTGAACACCTGAGGGAGAATAATGCATCTCCCTCAAGAGGGACCACCGAGACATTTCCCTTCTTATAAACCCGTTTGCCTTTTTTTTTCCATCCCCCTAACAATCACACTGCGATGTGCTGACAGGAAACTGACAAGCTCTTATAAATCAGACCCTTCCCCTAAAAGCCTTTTCCCTCAGTGTGTCAAATATGGCTGCCCAACATGAGGGCCAAAGTTTGCAAGAGACACTTCTGGACTTTTACAACACACACACACACACACACACGAAAAATTTTTTTACCAAATTTAAAAACAGACTTGTGACTCTGTGTGAAACTATTTACATATTTCATAATTTAATCGCCAGAAAAAAACCAAAAACATTTGTTTCAAAGTTTGTAACAAGACAACACGTGAGGAACAAAGGGTATCATTGGTGTCGTGACGCATTAATGTTGTCAGATAACTTTTTAGAGTAGGAGTGTGTCAGATGTGATACTTTCTGAAAAGTATGTTTTGTACTTTGTAGGAGAGAGAAAAAAGTAGGGCAAGTTCTGAGTCAGGTGGGAGCAGGGCCGTGCACAGATATTTTTATGGGAGGGTGGCAGGAGCTCAAATGGAAGAAAACAAAAAACAGGTGCCTTACTGGTATGAAATTTCTAAGGCACAGTTTAAACATCATGTATTTCTACCAATATTTTGCTGACCCAGATGATTAATAAAGTTCACCTCAAAATTTTTTTTTAATAATTTAAAAAAAAAATTTCAAAAGGGCTTTTTTTTTTATTTAGAAGAAAAATGGCAGGCAAGAAATGCAAAAATTAAAAATATAGACACGATGTGATGGGATACAAATAATATATAAATATATACACAAAACAATTTCAGTAGGGCACGTTTTTTTGTCCAGATGAAAAAGGGTAGGTAAAGTAGCCAGTGTCCATCTATTCCTGCGTAGGAGTTTTATTTGGCAGAACCATGCAAAGGAACTTGCAGTTGGAAGAGAACGTTTCTGCAGAAGCTCGATTTGTTTAGGCTCAACACCCAACAACCTGTTTGTTGTTCCAGTCAAATGTTAATCATTCCACTGGATGAACAGAAAGAGAACATGGAGCAGGAGGAAAGAGAAGACAAATGTACAAAACAGTGCAATGAAGAGGAAGCAAATTTGCCTCATAGTAACCCTTCTTCTAACGATGACTCAGGCACTTCAAGCCCCGCCCCTAAACAATGACACGTGTCCTAGACTGGCTGGAAATCTTCCATTCACTTACTGGGCCCCCTCCACCACTCCACCAAGCTGCTTCAGTACCAAATATGTGATAAGTGAAGTTATGTAACCGGGCCTCATCAGGAGGGGTCGCATTTGGCAGAGCCCCAATTTCCACAGAGGTCTATCGAAAAGTCTCAGCAGGAGAAGTTTCATATAAAACAAAACAAAAAAACACAGGCGTACCAGGGCATCATCCGTCCGAAACGGGTCCATGGGCTCCGGGAGACCAGGAAGCCCACCGTGGGGTCCGTCACGGCGTCCCACGCTCGGCCGACAAACAGGATGATGGAGGCGTAGAAGGGATCCAGCTACCAGGAAGAAACTGTCAGCACTTTCACAGTAGATGTTTGACAGGGACTGTAAAGGTTCCGGGTAAGCTGCTCCCGTAAAGTAGAACAGCAGCAGTAAAACAGTAAAAAAATATATCACTGTAAACTTTATAAGGCGACAGTTAGCAGTCGAAGGAGGCCCTCCGACTCCTGACTGTACAATCTGCGCCACACCGTGTCACCCAAAGGGGGCCCCGTAATGAGCCGCCTTGGACGGCCAACAAAGGCAGAACTCAGGCTCAACGGGGCTTATTGTGGCCCGAGACATCAGATTAGTGAAAGAGCCTATTAAACTAAGACCCTCCTCATTGGCCTGGCTTTGTTCCCCACCTCCACAATATTTATAGAACAAGCACCAACACATTAATCCTGTCAGATACAGTAGAGCCTAATCACAAAGCCAATAATGTCAGCAAGTTGGAAACTTTTCTGTCCAGTTACAATCCCCGTCATGTAACAAACAGACTTTCTTCTTGAAAAGCACAACTGTGCAGTTTTAGGTCACTTACCTGAGCTACGTCGAGTAGGTAGAGCTGCAGGAAGAAGCCCAAAGCACATCCTGTGATCTGGTAGGGCGCGCCGCCGATTGCATAGCAGATCTTGTTGCAGATCGACAACCTGGTCCTGTGCTCATGCTGAGCAGGAAAAAACAAAACAAAAACAGGCCTGATTAACCCAGAACAAAAAAATTAAAGCATTTGAGTCTTTGTGTGCAGCAACAGGTTGGGAAGAGCTCCAGCATTTTCTCTGCAACTCTGACTTATAGAGTCAAGTAGCTTTGAATCCAGCAGAAAATTAAAGTTATGAAAAGTACAGAGGAACGATTCTGCCGCTTTGATTTCGATGAGTGTTTATGCAAAACAACGTGAAGGTGCTTTTACTTCTGCTTTATTTGGTCTGCCATTAACAGAATTTTAATCATTGTTTATCTATTTTGTCTTGCGTTCTTTTTTCCAGCATTGTGGTTTTTTTATCCCCCTTTAATGGCATGTGAACGGAAAAGTTCACAAATTACAGAAAAAAGTAAGAATCTAATTTTTAACCAAAAGCTTGACAAGCTGCTAGATGATTCCACTAAAGGCCGAAAATGTCAGAAGCTCAGTTTTGACCGGTATGTGCATCGATCACAATTTTCCATGAGAAAAATCAATCTTATCGCTTTCACTCGTAAATTTTGGCCAATAGCCGATCTCCCCAAACTAAGGAAATCTGGGCCGATTCATCAAACAGACGATTTATCGGTGCACCCCTTGCAAATGGAGAATGGGTCTATTCTGATCCGTCAACCGACAGCTGCATCTTACATAAATGTAGGAATCAAGTCAATGAAGGTTCATTTTTCAAGTTAATGAAAAATGAACATTCAAGGAACCGTCGAGGTTTCGTTTAAACGTCCAGCTTTAGTACGCCCAAACCTCTGGAGGTTCCCTGAACTCGTCAGTGTCGCCGCTCTCTCACCGCTCACAATAAGGATGGAGAAACACGTTTGCAAAAGTCTAATGAGAAATTTGGCCCAAATCTTTAATCACCACGGACTCCTAGAAGAACGCGAGAGTTCCCGTTGGCCAGAAGAGACAGCAAGCACGGAGCAGCCGGCCACGAGGAAACAACCGAGCTTGGATTCCCCAACAAGAGCCAATTCTCCTTCATTTTCTCGACGTAATTGATACTTCAGCAGGCAGGACTGTAAACACTCTTGTCTAATGACAGCACACAAACTGAGGCGACTGGGGCACGACAATGTCGCTGTTGTCGGTCATATCAGGAGCTGCCCGGGCAACAGGACCTTGGCAGCAGCCTGGACCGACTTAACAGCCAAAAGCGGGAGAAGGGGAGCGCTGCCAGTTTGACCACAGAAAGTGAGGTGAGCACACGCCCTATTCCTGACCAATCGGAGCGCCAGGATCAACACAGCCGCCGCTGGAGCCAGGCGAATTGAACCCGCGTGATACCATCTATGTATGAAAATGTGTCCGAAACCACACAGGTATATTTCCACCACTCCTTGTTTCACGTGTGTCACCAGTGTGGACAAAATACTTGTCCTGACACAATGCATAGCATGATAACACTGCGTCTCAAAGCAAGTACATAGGCTTCTCCCTTGTTGATACGCCCAACTCTGCTCTGTTTAGGCCTTCTTCAACAACAGTGATCCCTGTGACAACAAGTGAGATTTTGTTCACCGTTTGCCACCGTGGCAGAAGCAAAACCTGATTTTCTTTCCTCCATCTTGCTCAATTGGTCCACGCCTTGTTCAACCTGATTGCAAAAGAATTGCACACCATCCTGTTCCTCCTGGTCTGCACACGCATCACGTCCTGTGCTCAGTCAAGTGTCCTCGTTTTGATTTACTGTCATACTAGTTAATGTGCCGACATTGTTGTAATGAGGGAGAATAAACAAATGAAAGTAAAAAAAATAATAATAATTTTTTTAAAAATGAACCGATCACCCAGAGATCGGCATCTGACAATTTTTCAGATGACAAGTTTGTTTTTTTTAATTCAAATCAGATTAAACTTCAGCCGCTTTGATGCATAAAGGGTAATAGAATAGAGGTGTAATTGTCTTATAATTAGATAAATTCTAAGCCAATGCATGAAGGAACATGCATCACATTTTTTCCTCACTCAACAATCAGGCTTTTCCTAGCCGATAGCGATATCTGTGTTTCTTGGACATGCCAATTCCAATTTTGACAAGTTCGGATATTTTCCTTTTAACAAAAGGAACACACAACAGACATAAATACAAGCTTTCGACTACCTTATAAACCCGTAGTTTTAAGTGGAACAGAAAAAGCATTATAAGATTATTCCCCGTGAAAGCACCAGAACACATAGTCAAACTAGAGCTTGCAGAGCTCTAGTTTGACCTAAAACACACAAGTTATCAGCTGGGTGATGTGATGAAGGGGTGACACAGAGAGCAGCCTTTTAACACCATTTGCAGAGCATCCATATCAGCTCACTGACTGTAAACGCATGTCATGCTACTGGTGTGCTCCGAAAAGAGGAATTACGTGGTGAAAAGGGGAAAAGGGGGTTTCCCAAAACAGATTCACCGCGAATTAGGCTAGTTGTGACTCCGTTTTGTTTTGAGCACAGATAGAGGAGGTGGGGGACTTTTCTCAGAGGATCCCCTGACTGCCTCAGCTGTTTCTGACACGTCACCTCGATGGACGCGTCCTGCTGCGTTCAGAGCGGTGGACGACAGGCGTATTTCCCCCAAGATTACCAGGGCATTTCAATTAATTGTCGAGGTCGTGTTGCAAAATAGACGGACGAGCCCATACAGAGTCGAGTCACACCCTTTTACCCCCCCTGTGGCGGTGGAGTTGGAGCCTCGGGCGAAGTTTCATCCTATTTTCGTGCAGCAATTCAACATAAAAGTGCTTCTCGTGCTGCTGTTAGGTTAGGTCGCCGCGTGACCGACTTTTATCATATTTACAGCTGGGTAATCCACTCGAGTGTAAAATGCTGTTTTTCTTGAGGACACATTTTGATGCACGCGACAAGTTAACCGCTGAGGCAGCAGCGAAATGTATGAATGAACGCGAACATCGCCAACATCTTCGGGCTTCACGTTTAGTTCCGACGGCTTATGTGAGAAACACATCAACTAAAAAAATAATAATAAAATAAAAAGGTAAACATTTGAACGCTTCTTTGCGCGTGATTCCTTTAAATATCAAGAGGACAAAGTGACGAGAGAAAAAGAGGACAGGGCGGGAGGCGCGCGTGGGCTCCACTCGCTTTTTTTATTTATTTATTTTTTATTATTTAATTGAACCGATAACGTTTGCTTCCATCCACCTTTCGTATATTTTATTTTTTTATGTAATATTGAGCCGCGTTTGGCTAAACCGACGTGTAAAAGAGATCAAAGCGAGCGTCGCGCGCCCCTTCTCCGGCGAACGTGCGCGGTTGAGTCCTTTGAAACGTCATTTTGCCGGGTGTCGCTCCATTCATTCCTTCAACACTCACTCACTGAAAACGTGCCGCATAATAAATGCCATATAGGAACCAAGACGCGTCATCTCCACCCCGCCGCCCACGGACTCTTACCTTTCTCGAGAGCTTGATATTATCCGAGCTGAGCGACTTGTTCAAAAGACTGGCATTGGAGTATTGCTCAGCTCCTTCTCCTTTGGCCATCGCAGAACAAAAAGGGTAGGGGAAAGCGTGGGGAGGGGGTTTGCTGAAGAAAACAGCAGGGAGCTTCGCTGAACTTGGCCCAAAAATAAAAACCAAAAAGCTCTGAGCAGCCACGCCTGTAGTGTCCTCCCTCCACGGCAGATGTTTGGAAAGTGAAGCGGATGAAGGTGGTGTAGTAATTTCAGAGACCTCTCTCTCTCTCTCTCTCTAGGCCCCGCCCCCGTGTGAAACGTGCTATTCACCCCACTGAAGCCCCGCCCCCTCAGGCGGAGGCTTCTGCAACAAGGTGATAAAGCTCTCACTAATTTCTCCGGGAACTCTGCTGTCGATGTGTGTAAACATGCATAAAATAATGTTCTGTTATCCTATTTTCTCATTTTCAATTGGATAAAAAAAAAATCTAATCAAAATATTATTATTATTATTATTATTTCTACTCCTTTGACACAATGAATGCAACTAAGATTACAGAGAACATCCTGTGTGAATCTCCAGTTTTTCTTCGACTACAGCTTACGCGTCTTCTTCGTGCAGAACAATAATGTGATGGTAAAATGGCTCTCTTGGGGGGTCATTTTCCACACATTATTATCTCGACAACTCACCAGAAACACCCAGATACACAGAAGCAAACGCTTGGTGAGGGTTGGTAGGCAGGGGGCAGTGAAACAGTTCACACGAGGTTTCAAAATCACAACAGAAACAAAAAGGGAGAAAACTGCAACATGGAGATTGAAAATGTGGGTAAAAATTGATCTTGAAATGCCTCTTGCTTTTACATCCTTGTGTGATGTCAGCAATATCAAAGCACGCCAACTTTTAACTCCCACTTTGAAGATTTTCTCAAGGAACCCCAGTCATGTTGTGTCCTTTATGACAAGTTTAGAGTGTGAGTCTGTCTGCTTGTTTGCTTGACTTTTCTCGACGACCACCCATTAAAAAGCACACAAGGATCCACTGAGAGTGACCACCGCCGTCTGTTCTGACCATCAGTAAAGCCAAAAGTCCCACCGATAATCGTGCGGACCGACCGAAACGTCCACAAGATCCATCAGACGTGGCGGAGGCTCCTGTCTGGAGACTGTCCTCTAATGCCCGTCGATTTGTTTTGGGGCCACAGTTTCATAGTGGGGGGAAATATTTTCTGCCTTCTCGGTTTAGCTGAGCACACATTCCTAAAAACCTACAGCATCATGGCTGTACAGGTCTGAATACTCGTTTGTGTGTGTTTGCAGGACGGACCGTTGCTCGGTTGAAAACATGTAGGCAGTTTGCATGTTTGCTTGCGGTGATCTGCACAAACACGGCAGCTCATCGGACAAACAGACCTCACACCCCTCCGCCTCGCCAAACACACGCAGCGGCGCAGCTTTATCTCCCATTCCTGCATTTGTTTACAGGCCTTTGAAGAGGATTTCCAATCTGTTTCGCTTCAATCTCTGACTGCTGAACCCTGACCTCGCCAACTGTGCAGTCAAGTTCAGGCCGTTTGCACCCGCCGTGTGAATCTGTGGCAGATAAATCAATGCGAGTAAACACGCTCTGCCGATTAGATAAAGCTATTCAAGTTTGGCAGGAGCGGACTGAGCTGTACCACAAGTCCCCAAGCCTCTTCATTTCTGTGATATGCGACGGATCGACGCGAAGTTGCAAAGTGAAATGTGGCTTTCTGTATTTTTATTTTTTTTATTTTTGTTTTTACCAATAAAAGTAGAGCCATCTTTCTTCTTTCAGGTGCCCAACTTTAATTTTCAGTTCTTGCAAAAGTTCTATTTAAACCTTTGCCACAGATTCTTTGCCAGGTTTAGCTCTGCACATGAACCGGCCCGTTGTAAAACACATGGATAATTTGGTTAGCCATTTCCTCCAGGATGTGGCAACGTTCTGAAATTACTGAGTCGGCAGCACCTTTTATTTATTTATTTTAGTTTTTTTTTTCAAAACGTTTGGAGTCTTCGACTGAACGGCTGGATTCATAACGAGATTGAAACACAAAGAGATGCTCAGTAATTAAATTAAATGACTTCTGACGGCTGCTATGCATTTGTACCTGCGCTTCTCTTGAACGTGCAATTGCGTATTTTTGACATTTAGAAAATAAATTTAGTTCATGGACTCGCTGCCATTTCGAAAATACTCTATTTTCGATAAAAAAAATTTTTTTTTCAAAATTGGTTGAAAAACACTTGTTTTCCACATCGCACGAGTCACATGGTCAGCAACAGGATGTTACCACTGGGGGAAACCACAAAGAAGAAGACGACGACAGGATTTAGCTGGAATGTTGTGTTTATTTTCAGTGACGTACGAGAAACTTATTCACGCGTGTCTCTCGTTGCGAAAATGTTTTTTTGTGCAAAATGTTGGCAAAGTTTTGTGCACATTTTGCAATGGAGGTCCAGCTAATCTGTACTTTCAATTCTGTGCATCTTCTAGTTGTCTGCTCTCGCGGCGAAAGAAAGGATTCAAAAGCTGCTGTAACACAAGAGGTGATCTCACATTACAATCTGTGCACTCAAAAGATACAACAAAAGTTTAACTGCTTTTAGCTCATTTCAGATAAAAAAAAACAGTCACACACACAGTTAAGTAAGCATCGTGACCCCGAGTGGTTCAACTTCTGTTCTCTTGCACCTCTTTACCATCACAACACCCAAAAGGACAGCACTTCCACAGAAAGCATCAAATCAGCCTCCCTTGTCTTTTTATTGCAACAATGCAGAGATTGTGCTCAGGGATCAGAACCAGAACCACTTTCCCATGGATCTCCTTACACACTTCTTGTCCTGGTTCTTTTACACAGAGAGCAAAAACACGTGAATCCCAGAAGGGACAGTTGCGATTCTGAGCCTGACTTGGAACACAGGATGGCACAGATTTCTTTTTTTTTTTTCACTTGTCGAGATGGGCCAACCAGAGAGAGAGAGAGAGTTTACTCAGGAGACGCCTGGGGCCACAATAAAAGGTACACCTTGTGCTACACCGAACCTGTTCGGCAGCTGTTCAGATCTCAGCTCCGCATGAGTGGATGTATGTTTGTAATGCACGGCGCGCGGGGGGGCACACGGGGCCTCAGTGTTTGTTGCCCAACGCGGCGTGCGTCACGGCGCGAGAGTCCCGCGCTGTCCGCTGAATGTGCAGCAGCAGGGTACACGGAACTGCAGGTGGGGCGGAAAGTTAGCAGGGATGGGCGGCAGGGGACACATAGGGGAGGGTGAAAGAGGAGTGGAGGGGCCTCCAAATGTTCCCGTGAAGTAAAGGTTGGGAAAAGGTCAAATCTGTCTGTTGCATTCAAGTTGAACGTGTTGAACTGTAATCATATTTAAGCCCAGGATTCCCAGAGGAAAATGGCGCCATCTTTGTCACTTTGTGTCGACACCCTTCTCGTTCTGCGGTGATAACAGTGGGCGGGATGAACCGATGCAGAAGTGTGAATGTTGGTTCAAGGTTATTTTGACTTTTGTGTATTTTATGCAGCCGGACTGGGATAAAACAAACAAACAAACCCTGAGCACACAATAACGCTGAATGAAAGTTGGATCTGAGTCAGAATTAAGAAACCTGGAGGATCAACATGTCAGCTTAAGCGCAGACATTCTATACAAATACAAGTGATGATAAATCACTTTCAGGTCTGTCGGCTCATTATGTAATGTTTACAATTACCACCTCGGTTAATTTGTAAGTTTTTGTGCTTCCTGTAGAAAGTGTCCCTGGTTCAGTTGGTGTTGGGGAGGAGCGAATGCGCAACTGAACTCTAGTGTGGACCGAATAGAGCGAACTAAAAAAACCAAGGCAGAAGTGAACTCTGGAGCAGTTCGAACGCCAAGCGGGAAATGAACTATAGAGCAGGGCATTGTGGGTAAGAACAACCAAAGCAAACACATCAAATGAGAACTCCTCTAATTCTGCTTTAGTTTTTAACGGCAGCTAGAGTCTGTCGGTGTTGCGCAACAGCAAAACTCATCATCATGAGTCCGCTATTAAATAAAAAAAAAAAAAAGGTTGAATATTTTATCCTTCTCTTCATTATCATTCACTATCTGACCCTCGTCCGCCCTTTCTGTCTACATTTTGTGAAGGAAGAGGATGCGCTGGTCTTCTTCTGAGGTTTCCTTCAGCAGGCTCAAGTGCAGCGCCGCCACAGGCGAGGAAGCAAACAGGTTTTTCAGTTAGTTTGGATTGTTTAGCAGCTGAAAATGAAACAAATGTCGCATTTTTGGACCAAAATGGAACCACGACTATTAGGTATTCTTCCGATTCCTCTCTGTTCGATCTGTCTTCTCGGACCCAAAGTGTGCCTGGTTCTGCTTTAAATGGACTGGTTCCTCTCTGGAGCTTTTCTTCCTGCCAGAGTCAAAGACTCTGTTCAGTTCTTGATGTGGGAACACAAAGTGTCATGAGTGAATAAGTTATCATGCCGTACAACACAAATATAGCAGAAACAGAGCATTTTTTTATTTATTTTCTTTCATCCATATAAGTGACAGAAAACATCACAAAGACAGAAAAGGAAAATGTTGAAACTGGGAAATAATTTTAAATGTTCGACTTGATTTAAACCAACAGATCAAAATGTTTTATGGACGTCAGAAAGAACCAACTTTTAAAAAAATATGTAATAAAGAGATGCATTCAGGTTACAATCACAATGCAGAACTTGTAAAAATTTGCAACTAATGTAATGTAAATTAGCACCATGAAGTGCTATCAGAGCACCAAATCTTGAGGGTTTTTTTTTTTTTTTTTGCAGTAAACGAGGTCCAAAAGTGTGCAGAACTGTTCTGAACTTGATCTGATGCAGGCAGCTGACTCGAGGCCGGTCATATCATACTGACTTGAAATTCTGGACGGCGCACCTCAGATGCCTCCTCCGCTGGAAGAAGGAGACGAGTCATTCAGGACGCTTGCTCAAATGGAAACTGAACGCACTTGGCACAAAGTCTCTCTGGTTTAAATGTGTGTTGGTTGCACACATTAATACTGTGCAACCAACAGAAAAAAGACAGAATAACATGTGGCTTTCAGATAAAGAAATGACCTGAACTGCTACACATGTTAAATACTGACTTTAATTTTGCTTAGTAGACAAAAATACACAGTTGACATCATTGACGACAAATAGTAACACTATAGTAGTCGT